TCAACAATTTTAAGCATCATTTTCGTTCTCAGTGACCCAAAATTAGTAAAGGTTGACTACATTTATTTCAGAAGCATTTTGGCTGTAGAGCAGTGTTATCTGAAACTTGGTTACGTCTCTCAACATGCATCATTTGTATCAAAAAGTCCATTTTTCAGCCAAATAAATTCCACTGCACCCAGCTGTTTGGATAATAATTCTTCTCTTTCTATATTGCACTTTACAATTTATTCACTATTTAGAAAAAAATCGATTTTAAGTAATCAACAGTATGGTTTATTTTTGAAATCTGGGAGTGCAGTAGATTTTTAATATTAAACGGCACATGTTCATATGCATGAATTTAACATTTATTATTAAAGTTGGTTGGCAACATGGTTGTAAGCCAGCAATAATCAGGCTCTTGCAGTGAAGCATGCTACTTTCAGGAGAACATCCAGGTTGTCTTCAGTGCAGAAAGCAGACCGTATATATTTTCAGTTAGACCGTACGGTAAATTCAACAAACACATACATGAATTCAAGTATCTGTACTCAGCTTCAGGTCTCTGGGAAATCTTCAACTGAGCTATTGAACCATTTTAACAGACTTTTCTACAAAACCAATAGGAAGAGAACTTTCATTCAGATGAAAGTCTTCATTGTCTGAATCATCCCATTCCCAAGACCTCTTCATCAAGGCATTTAATCATTTAAATGTATTTTGTGCATGTGTGATTGACATTTATATGGATTAGAAATGGAGGTCCTAGTTTGAATTAATTGTAAATAAAATGTAAACATTTTAAACAATAAAGCTTAGATTGAATAAAAGGAACTTTTTTTATGAAACCCTTAAAATGGACAGCCATATTTAGGCTCTGATCCTGTCATTTGGTTTCCCACACAACTCTGATTGCAAGAGAGAAGGGCCCTTGCTAGTAAGTAAGCCATGTGTATTGTACAAAGAGAAAAGTAACTGAGAAGGTTTAAGTTTTGTGCTTTGATATTACTTACACATCACATTATTTTGACCTGCGTGCATATACTGAAAAATTAGAGCGTGAGAGATTATTTCAGAGATATTCCATCAAAAGGAGACAGTTCATTTTCCAACTTTAAATTTTTAATGCAGAATATCCTGAACTTTTGAATATGATCTTTGTTTCAGCTCATGACTCCAGCAAAGTCTCACCTGCCCCACTAGACCTAAACTGTCTGAGATTCTTGGGCCTGTCATATATCATTTAATTCTTATTCTTTTTTCTCCATAATACCCTGCTCTGAGAGCAGTAGCTGTTATTTCAGTAGTTGCCCTGCTGTTGTTGGGAAGATAAGCAGTTCTCTTTGAAGTTGATAAATCAGAACACTATTTCCCTTGGGGATGCAAAATTGCAATCCCCATAGGTTAGAGCAGGGATCGGTAACCTTTGGCACATGGCCCATCAGGGAAATCCGCTAGCGGGCCGGGATGGTTTGTTTACCTGCAGCATCCACAGGTTCGGCCGATCGCAGCTCCCACTCGCCGCGGTTCGCCGTTCCAGGCTAATGGACTGCAGGAAGCGGCATGTGCTGAGGGATGTGCTGGCCGCCGCTTCCCGCAGCCCCCATTACAATACAATACATTATGTACTGAGACTGTGAGCTGTTAAAATTAGCATTTCTTTAACATGATGCTTTAAAATGTCAAGATGCTATTCAACTGAGGCCCCTGTATACCCCTTGATGCCAACTGCTTATTGTGCTGAAGAGGAACTTCTTTTTATACTATAATTTGCAAAATGATCAGGTCTTTCTAATCCAGGTGGTTACTGCCATATTGGTGATGAACAAACTGAACAGTCAGACAAGCAACCCTACAACATGCCTCTCCCTTTTCCCAACACAGTGCTTCAATAAGGCCCCGATCTTGCATGCTTTGTGCATACAAAATTTCCATTGACTTGAAAGGGGAGGAATTGGGGACACAAGAATGCGGTACATGGTTTTAAACATCTGGTCGTACTGATTTTTACAGGCTAGTAATGATTAAACATATAGAAACTGAGAACTTTATATAGGAAAATGAATTAGTTAACCTTTATTTCATTTCTCCAGATTCCCAAACCTGATCGACTTAGAAAAATATCCTTGAGTCTAGTAGACAAATTTACCAAAGGTAAATAGCCCTTTACTCTGACCAATTGGGTCACTATAGATACATTTTTTTTTAAAACCATTGACTCAATTTCTTAAAGGTTTTACCAAACTATATATGATAAACTAATGAAAAGTTATTACTTCTTGAACTAACAAAGCGTGCATATGAGGATAGATTCAAGAGCTTTAAAGGACAAAAACGATTAGGGAAAAAACCCTTGATGCAGATATACAGGATAAATAAATTAAAACAATTTTAAGCAAAAAAGATTAATTTAACTATCAAATAACCACATAAAATTGGCCACAGTTTACTTAAATGTGAACCAAAGATGAGCCAAAGCAAGTTCTGTAAACTATCTGTAGTTAAGTTAGAATATTCTATGGCACAAATTTTCACAAAAAAGTTAAGGCAGAGACCAACATTTTATATAAAAATAGCTGGGCAGGTTTCTAAAGAAGGAAATAATCATTTTTCATGATGAGTTTTGTTAACATAAGATTATAAATACCCTTATATATACAGACAAGATCAGTAAAAGTGGATGGAATATTTCACTTGACATCCATCTTTCAAATAAACCAAGATCATATATCCTGGATGTTAATAGAGGTACTCAAGTTCAAGATCGGTAAATCTTTTTGCTACACATACTGATACATACAATAAAAATGCAATATAAATATTGATTTTTCACGGAGAAATTCCGTATTATACTAAATTTACAAAACTTGCCAAATTGGCTCAAAAGGACATCATATTAAGTTAAAGAGAATGATTTACCGTAACACTTTGTAGGCAAATTAAAATAGCATACCAGCTTATATAGTTACACTTAACCTTTCAGTAAAGTCACCTTTTTCAAACTTTAGTGAAACGAAAGTGGACTCTGTCTTGGCTGAAGATTGTTTAAACTCTTCATGAGTTCAGCACAGTTTGTGTGCTGAGATTACTTAGGTGTAGTATTACACTAGGCTTTTCAAGGTAGTTTTAAGCCTAAACCTAGCAGCGTTATACTGAATTATGAAAGATAAACTATAATCAATATTTATATGGATGCGTTCAATTTAATCCAAAAGTATGTCTTGAATATAAGTAATGACAAAAATGATGTGGCAGTTACCTGTTACAACTGATATTTACTTTACAAGTATTGCATTTGGAATTTCCTCAAGTGAAAATGCCTTTGATGATGCTAATGTGAGTGCATCACATTTAACTTAGTGTTTTATATCTATGTGTGTACATACACACCAACACACACAAATGATGTATTTAATAATCTTAGTAAATTGTATTTAATTTCTATTAGAGAGCACAGTATCATAAGACACATTTTCAATGGAGTTTCCATAATTTTATACTTTTCATTTTATAATATTTAAGCACTTCCACCTTCAAAAAGTCAAATTTGCCACTTAAGAGATCCTTTGCATTCAGTTTATATCCATGCTTTATTGAATAAAAACCAAAATATTTTTTAAAAAGTGTTTGTAAATTTTGTTGTTTCAACTGACATGTTTGTTTGCACCTGACTTTCTCCCCACACCTAACACATTTTAAACTTTTTTTTAAAACAGTCTGCAAACTATTTCATGGGTTGATGGGAAATTACAAGAGCACTTTTCTTTTTGATGTGAAACTTTCATAGGCAGTTTGGTCTGCACTTGGGGCCAAATCCTGAGCCAGTTAAAATTAATGACAGCTTTGCCCCTGATTATTCTAAGACTAGGATTTGACCCTTTATTGCATGCAAATCAAAAATACTCTTTCTGTGCAGACAAGTGCAGCTGCAAATAAAAACTAAAGATAGACTAATTTAATCACATACAGTGATGTACCCACTAGATTTTAAATCTTACTCTTTTCAGTATGTAGCTGGGATTCATCACTTGGCTGCTCTCCAATTCATCACAGAAATTAATTTGTTTTATGTTAGGAAATGTCACATTAGTCCTTTGGCACTGATCGAGCTCTCTAAGTGCAATATCTATTGCCTGCAATAGCTGCACCAAGCACAGCTATCTATTTACTATCTTATTAACAGTATTTGAACCCAGAAGATGGTAACATTTCCATTGACCCTAACATATACGTTCCATATTTTCTTCCCCATATCGTAGACTCCAACTCTAAGGTCAGGGACCATCACGATCATTTAGTCTGACCTCCTGCCCATTGCAGATCCACAGAACCTCACTCCGCCACTCCTGTAAAAGACCCATAACCTCTGGCTGAGTTACTGAAGCCCTCAAATCATGATTTAAAGACTTCTAAGTTACAGAGAATCCACCATTTACACTAGTTTAAGCCTGAAAGTGACCCATGCCCCATGCTGCAGAGGAAGGCCAAAAAAAAAAACAGGGTCTCTGCCAATCTGACCCTGGGGAAAATTCCTTCCAGACCCCAAATATGGCTCATCTGTTAGACTCTGAGCATGTGGGGAAGACCCACCAGCCAGACACCTGGGAAAGAATTCTCTGTAGTAACTCAGAGCCCTCCCTATGTAGTGTCCCATCATCAGCCATTGGAGATATTTGCTGCTAGCAGTCATGTCATCATTCATTGCGTTCCTTTGTCAAAAGTTTGTGTAGCTTGGAAGAGAAAAAAAAATACAAAACTAAAAAGCATAAACCTTAAATGCAACACAAACACTTAACTAAAAATGAGTATAAAGCTGAAGAAAAATATGTCTATTGGAAGTTATTGCCCATTAAAAAGTTAAACAAAAAAAGTTCACATTTTTTTATGTGGTCTTAAGGTGGTATTATGTTTCAGAGGTAGTATGTGTAAAATGTAACACAGGATTCTAAAGGACTTATTCACTTAATTCAGTGATACAGTGAAAATGCTTCATATTACCACAGAAATTACCAGAAAGCATTCTCCTTAAAGGAACATTCTTTTAACATTTCTTGATTAGATATTTGCTTTTTTGTTAAATCACTTTTTTTTTTAAATATATCTCGCATCCTTTAAGCGGAATGCTAGCCATTTTTGCTCACAGGGAAACAGATTCTGAGTAATACTGTGGATTCTGCTTTGGTGAAATGTGGTACAGTGCAATCTGCCAAAGACTGTTCCAGTCTTCTGGTATAATTTAGTTTTTTGCCCATAGCTTTTTTGAGGCTGCAAAATTTGGTCAGCCAGTGTGGTAAAATATTAATTGGCTGGACAAATCAGATGCCAAGAGGTGGCATTGATGCCTTCTGATGAGTAGTTGGTCCGAGATTTTGTTCCAGCCATTTTCTGACTTTGATCGGAAATTTGATAACTGATTAACTCATGCAATCTTGGATTTTTAGACAAAGAAAGCAGAACCTCATATTAAAGTTGAAAGAATGCTTCCAAGATGCCAGACCCTCTATAAGCCAGCCAGCCTATCGTATAATTGGGTTGTTGCTGACAGATCTGGGCAGTGGAACTGGAGGTAGTATAATACAGTAAACTAAGCTTTTGGTTGTAATGTTATCAGTAAACTAAATTTTGATTTTTCAGATGGTCTGCTTAATTTTCCATTCATGTGTATTATTTTCTTTCCTCATGCCATCAGAATCCCGAAAGTGAGAATCTGCTGTGGCTAAGTGCCGATGGGAAAGGCAGTGCACCCAACTAGTTTTTAAGGGTTAATCCTTACTAATATGGTAACAATAGTACAGTTCTGTTATTAGATGGGTGACCACTTTGCAGCAGTAAGTTCCACAATAAGCTTTTCACCACACATATTCCTGCCATATAATTCTGATTATATAACTGCATTGTTATATGACACCCATACTATCTCTTCATTTGGTGGGTAGAGGTGATGAACTGCTTCAAATTTAAAATGGCACGTTACATTTTTGGTTTATCTCCTTATTTTGCTCCCCACTTTGTCTCCAAGGAGCTGTAAAGCTCTTGTTTTTCTTATCTGAATACTGACTTCGGTCACACAAAAGGTACTTTAATATTAAAGTCCAATGCTAATCTCAAAAGTGACTACTTAAGAAAAGGAAAACCTTCTCAATAGATCAGTTCTCCATGTGTATTTAAAGCCATATCTGCTTAATTTACTGACTAGAAATATTCATTACTACTCACTCCTGTTAGCCCTGCAGGCAATACAGGAAACATTTTCAGGAAATTAAGACAAGCAGTACCTCAAGGGTACAACTTTCCCTATGTATAGCAAGTTGATGAGCATGAGACATACTTTCATTTCTCCCTACAGGGAGATAGCACCTTATTGCTGGTTTAAAATGCATGTCTCTTATCAATTGCCTTTTTTCAAGTTAGGCTTTCTCCAAGTAGGATACTCTCTTCTATAATCCACATTGCAAAACATGTGTCAGGAATAAACAATGTCTGTGAAGTCATCCCTCACTGACCAAGCAGGAGGTTGATGGACGGTTCTTTAACTCATGGCACTCTTGCTGTATCTGTTGTTTAACTTTATGATCCAAAGAAGTGAAATGGCTGCTTTTTAATGCTTCCTCTGTGGTACAATAGTACCAGCTGTGATTATTTCTCCCATTTTTTATGGAAAAATAAATCCTCCTTGCAATCTATAGTGCAGTGGAAGATGATTTAGCATCTAATGTATTTCTTTATCTACCTTTGAACAGAGGAAATAATTGTAAACCAAAATCCTAAAAATGTCCAAGATCAACAGAGCCAACATTGCTTTTTGTCAGCTGAAGAATACCTAGAATTCATTCAGGAGACAAACATCAAGGTGTTCTCTTCTGGGCATTAGACACATATCAGCTAGCTATCATGACAAATTTAGCTGGAAGTATGGATGGACAATATGAGGTCATAGGACCAAATTCTGCCCTATCTTCCATGGTCACAATTCCCTATTATTTAAGTCAATAGAAGATGCACCCATTGAGGTCAGGACTGAATTTAGCCAAGACCATAGCCCTGTGTTTGATCGCAGAACTGCAGAAGCACCTTCCACTCTTACCATCCACAAACATTTAATATGAAGAGTGTGTGCACTTTCCTAGACCAGCACTGCTCCCCAACCAGATGCCTAAACAAGAGGAAGGGGGCAGCAAATGAAGAATTGGACAGAGACATAGGGGGACTTGTTGATGTCATGTTTACTGATCTGACCCTGTGAACTTAATTATTATATCTAGCTGTCTTTCTGGAGAACAGAACATCAAATCATGAAGCCGTGAGACACGTGTGGTGACAGAGAATGGCTGGAATGCAATATTCAGAAATGGCCATTCATGATTTTCAAAGATAATTATTCTTCCAAGTTTTTACCATACTGTGCAGTAGAAGAGCAAGTCTGCTGTTCTGCAGCCTCTGTCCTGTAAATCTATATTTCCTCAATATTTTTAACTAGCACTGGTAATAACTCACCATTAAGAGTTTTTTGTTTTGTTTTTTCATGTTGCAGGTATTATGGATGAAGGTTATTTAGAGGAGAAGCACGGAGGTACTCAAACAACTGTACAATACAGCTCTATAGAGCATCTTATTACATAGGAACATACTTCATATTCAATATTTCTTCTTGATCATCCTACGTTGCTGCTGATCGTTTCTGGATGTGACAGCATGACTATTTTATTATAAATGCTCTGTTATCCTATATTGAAGAAAGAGTCAAAGCATATTTTGCTCAAAGGGAAACACTCAGTACAGATTCTACCCAAGGAGTGTGGAGCCTAGGATTTTAGGTGTATATCATGAACCAGGATTCTAGTTTACTGAGTAAAGGTCTATTTTTGGCACAGTTCATCCAATCTGAACTTCCTGATTTAGTTTGATGTCATGTCAGGAAAAAAGCAAGTCAGAACAATACAAAATTACTCTTGGCAGTGATAAAATTCTACTTGGCTACTAGTGTAAAAGGTAAAATTGCAAAACGATTCATAGACCACAAAATTAAGAATTAGCTTTAAGAAGATGCTGCCTTTTGCCATCCCATGTCAAGGAGAAGTAACGGAATTAAGGTCCAAGTTGTGGAGCATGAGGGCTAGACACCACATTTTAAATTTCTTCAATAAAGCTTACTGAAAACATGAGGTTTTATTGTCAGTTGCAGGATCTTCCTATCTAGAGATAGTACAGTTAATAACCCAGAGCAGAAAACCTATGATAAATCACGCCTATTATCTTAGGGTGTATAGTAATGTAAATTAAATGTATAATATATTTAAATACAGTACAGTGATCGTTTCTCACAGTACGGGGTTGAAATGACTGTCAGATTTAGGGCTGGAATGAAGTTAATACATTAACACCATATTTATGATAGAATACATTTGTCCCTCAGAAAAAGTGCTGACAGCAGTTTCTTTAACACCTGGGAATAGGAATTCAGTTTAAGAGAGAAGATGGACAGAGGGTGCAAACTCTGCATGGATTTTCCTCTTTTTGGACACTTAAGACTGTTTTTATTTAGAAAGACCAGATTGTTCAAACCTTACTCCCATTATACAGTAAACAGTCTCAGTGGCACTACTCACAGAATAAGGTACCATTCAGCATAAGGGTGAAAGAATTTAGCTCTCAAGCTGGTGTGACCTAAGGTTTAGTGAGGCCGGTTTGTAAATACTCAGACTAGAAATGACCAAGTTCTAGCTGTATGCCACAATACTATGTACCATCCTGAACTTATTTGAATCTGTCAAGGTGAACGTATTTATTCAAATGAGATGTGAGATTTAGTATGAATGAGTGCTGAGAAAGGATAAGTTAGCAGAGAGTGGCTAAAGCTATCAGGCATGCAGTTTAAAAACTTCAGCTAAATTTATTCTTTGTCAGCACCTGGAGTCTGCTGGCGGAATGACACAAATGTGTTAAATTGGGCTAATTAGTCATTGAATCACTCTGAGGAAATTTGTGGGGCCCAGATTCCAACACTAAAACAGCTTCGGAGGGAGACAGGATGAAGACTGTCCTTGGCTGACAGCACTGTTGCAATGAAATGGAGTATGGTTGTAGAAAATCTATGTAGCTGATTCCTGAATCTTTATGAACCAGAGCCTTTACTGTTCAGGTTTTATAAAACGAAGTGAAATAAAAAAAACCACTCTGACGGTAAAACGCTAAATATTGGTGTAACTTTATCTAATCCCATCACTATAGTAATAATACCAGAAACAGTTGCCTTCTCCAGCAATCAAGAGTTTCCAGTAAAAGCCTAATGGTTTACAACATTTAGATCTGCTTCTGTACATTAGTAATTTATTGAAGCCAATTAAATTTATTCACTTCGTCTTCCAAGTGTTTTTCAGACATTTTTAGGAGATAATGGGAGACTCAACAATTTGCACTTATATACCAATAAGCACCTTAGATCAATCTTTTAATTCAGATTTTTTCAGGGGTCCAAGAACAACTCTGTCCATTTGCCCATAACAAGCTCATTTTTCCATATGGATTCCCAATTTTCAGTCCACCTACCTGAGTAAGAAGGAGCAAGGGAAAAGGCGATGGTCACAATAAACAGGACTGGTGAGTCTTACATGATAAGCAACGTTGAAATGTTACCTGGCTGTGTAACTGCACATTTATTTTCCATTCTTGGATCCCTGCTCAGAATAAATTTTGCTACAAAGCAAGAATTATTTTGGAAAATTATAAATGACCCTAATCAAGGCGGTGATGCTAAAAACTAAAACTTTTTCCCATGTAGCTTTCTCACTTGCCAAAAACAAAGTTCCATATTCCTTGTCACCGCAAGTTGCAGTCATATCACATCACATTCACCCTTCAGCAAGGTCTGCCTAGTTTACCAAGGTTCTTGTTGACTGAATGATATCAGGTAACAAAATGCAGTTATCTTGAAATGCACACCTGTTAGGCAGTCTAAGCATTGTGTGTGCGTATATATATTATTTTTCTCCAAAGATCACAAACTGTCCGAGGCATTTTTCTCTGATAAAGACGACAAGCTGAATGAGGTATCATCAGGCTCTGGAGATGCGTGATTGAAATCCATCTCTTCTAATTCAGGAGGTAAATCTGACAGCAGTGCCTATGTTAAAAAAAAATTTAAATTAGTATTTGGACACATTTTTCAAATTTCATGTTAACTCATTAAGTACTTTGTATAGTAAAGGATCACTTTTTATGATTTTTTTCACTGATAATGGTGAAATTCCCAATACTAAAGAAGAAACAGAATGCTGTCCAAAAATGATGTAACCACTGTACTATTGCCAGATACCAAGTTTACTGCTTGCAAGCACAGAAGAAAACAGTGATATCTCAGCTATAAAATGAAAACATAAGTAGTGATGGCAAATTACCATATTTCAAAATAGAAACTACCGTATCCTGAGATGCATACAGAGGATATTATCCAACGGTGAATCTCCCGCCATCAGTAGTTGAAGAGGGAAATTAATAATTTAATCTTTTCTTCTTGGGACACAAGAAAAATGCCTTAATATACTGGCAAGTGACTCCTTTCTACTCCTGCAATGTCTGTTCATCACAGACATATCTTTTCTATTGTAGTTCTTCCATTAACAGTTACACTTTTCTAGTTTGTATGATATATATTTATTTTAGATTTTCTTTGTACCTTAGAGTGAATACATTCAAGGACAAACTAAAGAAGTTTAGCCACTACATTTTTTTCCTGAATAAAGACATTTTTAGGATGATTATATTTTACAATATATATGCAGACTTGCTAATTGTTTCAGTTACAAGAAATACTACAAACCATACCCTTTGCCCACAAAGAAAAAGAAACTACATATATTGAAGGATTCCCAGAATGTTTTCATGAAATTAGATCTGTTCTATGGCTTATATGCTGTAACAAATGAATAGCTTGGCTCTGCACTATTGATTTATAGGTGTGTCAAAAGCAGAAACTATAATTTTTTAAGAAATACTGACAGTTGGCTTATGTAAGATAAATGTCTGAACTTACTGTTTAAATTTGGAGTACTTATTTTTATTGTCAATATTTATATTAAAATAGTACCAGTTGGGATTGGGGCCCCATTGTGCTGGGGTCTAAACAAACACAGAAGAGACAATCCCTGCCTTGGAGGGCTTACAGTCTAAAGATTTGCAGACAGGTATTTTCTTGGGGCCTTGATAGCTCCAGATGTAGGTAATAGGTTATAGGTTATGAAGCCTTTGTAGATTACTGGCTCAAATCCATCCTTGAATGGTAATGATTACCTGTCATCACCAACTGACAACTGCTTGCTGTTTTTACATGTAATAAATTGGTGGCCTCATTCTAGTCCCTAGTGAATGGGTATTGTCTTGATAACTGATACTTGCATCCTTATTGGCAGTCTCTGTAGAAAAGCCAACATTAAATCAGCATGTAGAGATGATTCCTCCTGAACAAGGCAGACACACATTTGCAGAGTAATATAGAGGAAACTTGCCCTGCTGCTGCCAGTGCTATTCCTGTTTTGTGAGTAAACTCATATCAGTTATCAGAATTGCCAATCTGGCACATTTCACAAATGGGAAATCAAGTGGGAAATGAAAATAAAAAGATAATATTTTAGGATTTACATTTTACTTTAGTAATCGTTTTTTGCAAAGCATATTCTGTTTATAAGATCATTTTTAAGACTCCTAATCAACTTCCAGGTTACTGTGGATGCAGATTTAAATTAACTAATGTAAGTAATATTTGAGTTTTAAGATTACATGGTTTTCATATCACTTTATATCTGAAGTGATTTAGATATGGAGTAAAATTTTCATAAGAGCTTAAGTCCAATTGAATTTCAAGTGTCAGCCTCTTTTGAGAATGGGACTTAAGCTCCTAAATCACTTCAGATCTTATGAAAATTCTACTAGAAATATAAAGTGATATGAAAACCATGTAATCTTAAAACTCAAATATTACTTACATTAGTTAATTTAAATCTGCATCCACAATAACCTAGAAGCTGAAGTCCCAATCTCAAAAGAGGCTGACACTTGAAATTCAATTGGACTTAAGCTCTTATGAAAATTTTACTCCATATCTTTAATTTCCAGAGGGCAGGTGGGTTGATTCCTTTTTCTGATTGCAAGTTTGACACAAATGTAAATATAAGGGTAACAGATTTAAAACATAATTCTCTTTTAATATGCATCCAGATTTTTGCATCCTTCTGAAAGGAACTGTACTGAATTGCACTGACTTCAAAAGCAGAAATGTCCAATGTTATTTCTAGTATAAAATTCATTTGAAAAATATGATTATTTTAATGCAAAATTACCCCAAGATTTAAAATTTTCAAGTAGGACAATTAATCACTATATTATAATGAACATATAAAAAATGGAACATCTAAGACCATCTCTACGGATCTGATCCTACATCATGTGAGTAAGCAATATGAGACTGGGCCGTATGTACAACGTCATTAGTAGTTTGCTGTAATTGATGTTTCAGTTTCATAGTTTGTGACATCTCTAGGACTCCAAATTAAGCTTTATTGTACATTGTCAGCTGTGCTCAGTCCTTAAATTAAATACTGTAATAAACAAGGAGCATTATTACTTTAAAAAAGTGATGATTAGAATGTATAAATTTAGCTTCAAAATGTTGCACTATTTTTTAACATCAAAAACTATGTAACAAGAAGAGATATTGGAGATTTGATATTTTTTGTACAGCAGTATTCATTTACTGTACGTGGACGATCCCCACAACTTACAGTTTGTGACTGGAAAGCTGAACAAGCATACACACACTCCTCAATCACTATTCAACCTGTGCACATAAGCCCTGATCCAACAAAGTACCACAGTATGTGCTTAAAGTGAAGTAATGTATTAAAATGTTTTGCTAGATTGGGGCCATAGTTCCACCTAACAAACTGAGGAGGAAAATGGTAATGTTTTTATGAATGACGAGAAGAAACCCCACTATCTTACTGGCATCACATTATGCATTACCACAGAATACCAGATCCTCAGCGGGTATATGTCTGCATTGACATCCTTGGAGACCACACCAGCTGAAGATCTGGCCTTCCGAAAGCTACTTGACACGGTACAAAAATAATGATTCCTCAGAGCAAACTAAGACTAAAGAAAGTAGTTAAGGCACTGGCAGGAATTGAGGAGATCTGGTTTTTATTCCTGGCTCTGCCACAGACTTCTGATTTAACCTTGGGCAAGTCACTTATTGGTCTGGGCCTCTGTTCCCTCGCTGGAAAATGAAGATAATACTTTCGCTCTCTTATGCTTTGCCTGTATTGTCTGTTTACACTGCAAGAACTCAGGGACAGGAACAGTCTTATTGTGGGGATGTCCACATTGCAATTAAACACCCGAGGTTGGCTCAGGTCATGAGGCTGTAAAATTGCAGTGTAGACATTTGGGTTCAGGTTGGAACCCGGGCTGTGGGACCCTCCCCCTCACAGAGTCCCACGAGTGTTTAATTGCAGTGTAGACATACCCTGTGTGTTCATACAGTGTCTATCACCATAGGGCCCCAATCTGAGTTGGGGCCTGTAAGCACTACCATAATATAAATAAGTAAGAAAATGACAAAAGACAAAGAAAAAAAAAGTCTGACATAGTTGCTGCCTACTTCTTAGACTTACCTGCTGCTGTTCTTTATCATCTGATTTGATAGCAAGTATCAAGCTCCTCGTGAATGTCTGTAGTTCAAAATATTTCTGTTTGTGATTCTCCAATTCATTTTCAATGAACCTAACTTCTTCATTCTGAGGGGAAAAAATAGATATAATTCTCCAAATAAGAATTAGTATTGGATAAAATTATGACATCAAATGTACCTATATTCAAATAAAAGAGAATAACAGTGAGTTTCTTTTGTTATGATAAAAGTAAAATAGGGTAAAATCAAATAATTCTAGAGAATAAAGGTTCCCTGTGAAAGTATCATCATGGAAAAATTCTTCAGGGTTAGCATTGTCTGACCTTATTACTTTGGTTTGATAATTAGGCACTAAGACAGAACAAGGCATTTTTTATGAGGCTTTAGAAATTAACACAATTGGGGCATTCTAACTGGCTGTGAGTGATGTCATACTAGGCCTATAATGCCCAGTAAATGCATAGACCAAACCATTTCTTCTGATCCTATATAAACTCCATTTATTTATTTGGCATATGCAATCGACAATGTTCAAGGCACGAAGATCTCCAGGAAGCGGAGTCATTTTGCATATTAACTCCATGCATAATAGCAATCACACTACAGACAAAGCATTCAGGGGAATTATTGTTCACCTCTAGAGCACTTTTAATAAGCACTGTCTTTTGGTCCCAGAGAGGAGAATCTCACCTATCACCTTAAAGGAAGTTTCTACCTCTCTCCCTAGCAAAGATACTCTCGAAAATGTAAACCAACTGTGTGAGACAGACAGCAGCGAGGTGCCAGTATTGCCGCAGGAAGCTTGAAATGGAAAGAGGTGAGGGAAAAATCCCTAAAATTCCCTAATTCCATGGCACCCAGAAACACGTATGTTATGTGGAGTCAGCTAAGTTTGTACACCAAAGGATCACCTCAATAACCTTCCTCAAAATCTTAAGGTCAGTCATGTAAATAGTGATGCATTCAAGGTAATCTGTTTTGTTTGGAGAATGGGAAGGAAATTTTTTCAAAGGCCCGGCCAAAATACTAAAGCTTGTCTGCTTCTTAACTTTCTGAGGTTGGGTCTGAGCCAGACACTGCTCATTCAGACAGCTACTGAGCCACAAGTTGAATCCATTATTGCTGCTCCTGGCACCAATCCACCAGCTGCTCCAGTAGAGTACAAGGAGAAGAGCTGGGATCAAACTGGTGCTACACAGAGTGGAGGTCTTGAAGCTTGCCTCTCTTCCACCATTGTTTGCCTGCCCATAGTTTGGGGATAGTATCGTAGATGTGATCACAGGATATGTGGGTGAGGTATTTATTAGTCCAATCACAGATATTACTTCATCCACCTTGTCTCTCACTGTTTACAGAGACAGTATTAGAGAGGAGTCTATAAACTGTTTTTCCCTACCAACCCTGACTCCTACCCAAGAAAAACCTTTTTATCTGCTTCTGCACTAGTTAGGAGACACCAACCTACCTAATTCAAAAGCCAAAGAGTACTCATCCCTAACCAATAACCTAGCCCATCAATGCTGATACAGGTGATGCCAATGAATTTTTGCACATTTAACTCCCCTTTCCATGTCTCCAATAGCTATTCTTTGGATAACTGAAATCCAGCCTAGGAAAGTAGTGGCTGGAAATTTTCATCAGCTGATTGCTTAAAATAGCCTATATGAAATGAGCTGGTGGTTTCTCATTCCCAGTTTCCACTATCCACATCACCTCAGATACCACAGTGACAGGCACACTATAAATACACAAATAGAAAAGAAAAACCACGACAACTGTCATCCTCATTAACAGGCTCAACAAAACAGCAGTGTACTAGTCTCTTTCTCTCAAGATGGTCCCTTCATGTCAGATTTGTGGCATACTGGTAAGGGAGTGTGGGGAAGCATTGACAGTGCCAACACGGTAGATAAACAAGAGGGCTTCAGCCAGGCATTAATCAGCCATTCTATAAACAATGAACAACATGTATTATTGGATTTACAAAGCACAAGTTTAATATCTAGATGGTAAATCTCTTAAATCAAAAGTTCAGATTTAACTTCAGGTTCAGTAAGTACTTCAGCTAATTCCCACATACACCTTACTAGACTTACAGCACTGTATATATTCCAAGTTAATTTCTTGAACATAACAATATAATTTCCCCTAGGTATTTCCCTTTGCAAAGATCAGGTTCTGTGAAGATTATATGTAGTTAACTACCTGTGTTGTGTTTAGATTTTCAAGATTAAGAAAATGGTGTGTCTGCAAAAGGTGTCCAAATGATGGCGCTGAACACCAGTTTTCCACAGGATAACAACAGATAGTACTATGCACAAACTACATCACAGCCAGTGCAAGATTTCTCCCATACATAGTCTTCAGCCCTCCTTGCCACATGTGCCTCAATTCTGTTCTGGAAGACTCAGTTTTAGGGATGAGAGGGGAATTTGGTCTCCATGCCAATTTAGCATTTTCTTTTTGCTGTGACTCCCAAGAGGTTGTCAGCTTTGGTAGTAGTTTTTGGGATATAGATTCACGTCTGCTAGAAACTGAACTGAGAACATCAAATTATTTTGCAACCATGTTTTTCTCTTCCTACATTTATTCATTGCCTAGCTAAGAATTTTTGAATGCAAAGTTAATAATACTCCACACATACACACAAAGTGCTTTCACGGTTATGCTGTTCATTAAACTCCTGGGAGAAATATGTACAAAACTTCACAATATAGAGCACCTAGAAATAAAGAATTAATAATTAGCACTAGGAAGCTTGAATGCTAGTGCCATAATAGTGATGTTACAAAGTAATTCTTTCAACAAACATTGGACTTAACATGCCATTAAAATAAACACAGCAAAACATTATTATTTCAGTTAACATTACATGTTCTTTTCTTTGAAAAAAATTTAAGCCTTCCTAAATTAAAGGAGTGTAGGTAAACTGCATACACTATATATTTCAACAACCAGACATGATTGTGTTTTTCTTATTGGATGGATAAAATGCACACCAGAACTCAAAGTGGCTCTTTTTGATCTAATAATTTTTGAAGGCATATCCTAGTTATTTGGCTCAAACTGTAAATTAATTTGAAAAATCATCTTCTGTAAATGTATAAATGTGCATGTTTGCAGATTTGAGATGTGGAATTGTAGTTTGCTATAGATACCAGAATTTGTAGCTGTTTTGTACATTCCTCCTGTGCATAACTTATGATGAACAAATTATAAAGTACAACTATTCTAACAGCAAGAAATTAAGGGAATTGTGTTAGCATGATTTTATTTTTCCCTTTATTATTCAATATAAAAAGCCAAATTTTGAAATCATTTAAAATTAGGTTCACACATCTGTTCACATGATCATTTGGGCCTGCAATGATGCATATAAACCAATTCCTACAGAAACTTTCAGGTTTTCATGGTAACAAATGATTGCATGTGCAAATTTAGAAGTCTAGTTAAAAGGCATCTGAAAACTTTGCCAAAAGAGTGTGCAAAAAGGTTCTGCAGAATAGGCATTCATTTATTTTATTGTATTATTTTAAAAACCTGTGAGACTTAATAGTATGTTCTGGACATGAAAGTTTTGTGTACAGATTTGTTACAGACTGGCTATCATTTCACATTAATAAAACCTGTATTTCAGTTAAGCTTAAGTGATAATCAATTTCCCGTCTATGCCTAACAAGCAGTGATGAATTTTCAGCAGACGAAATTGTGGTTGATGTAGCTATTTTTGTGTACAAAACACATTTTCCATGAACATAAAATGGACAGTTAAACATGCATTTGCCATTATGCAAGCCCTAATGCAACTGACAAACATTGTGAGCTGACTTTTAGAGGCTTGCCAAAGAGTTGGTCCTAACAATACAGTTCATATAGTAGCTTAAAGAAAATATTCTCTTTTGGTAGGAAAATCAGCTTACTGGGATTTGTTACTGATGAAAGCTTGCAAGTCAGCTATTTACTCAGGGCTTTGGTCCAGTAAAAGCTAGCATGCATATTTATGCAGAGAACATGTGACCATGAAGACTAATAGTTTATGTCAAAACGTAATAAAAACAAACAAGATTCTGTAGGGCATGCTGTCACAACAAGCCATTCAGTTCAGTGACAAGTGACATTAAGAAAAGGTCATTCGCCATCCATATTCATCCTGCATTGCCCTTACCCGGAACACACTGCCCAGAGGATTCGTTTTTGTGCCCCAAAAGGTATAGTCTGTTTTACTTTTTAAAATAATTTATTGTTTTAGAAACAGGTTCTATTCTAATAAAATCTGTATATTTTACAAACAAGGAAGTTACAAATTTGTCAGTTTCACACAGAAAACACAAAGCATAAAATGAAGCCATATAACAAACGTATAACCTTTACAATTTTGGCAGAAGATCCTGAATGTCAGGGTGTCCAGCATTTTTTTCATGTTACTATTTCAAAGACAACTCTATATAGTCATTTTATAACCAGAATGGGCAGCAATGTTGTTATACTGTGGTCTACATTATTAAAGCCATTGCTTTCTCGGACCTCCCTGCTTTATTAGAGAACTCTAGCTGCTTTGTTGCCTCCCAATTCTGGCAGTATTAGGCTATATATTTAAAATAAAGCCCAAAAGAACAGACTCCTAGCACAAAGAAAGTTTGTATTTGATGAAAACGCAGATTTCGCTTAAAAATATAAATGAAAAAGATGGTGTGTTTTAAATGCTAAATAAATTGCCTTGGTGTGAGACACCCACTGGAAGCTGCTAGAATCATAGTAATTTAGCTGCTATGAAGGACCGATGCTGCTGTTTCTTTCTGTATTCCTTTCATTTTGCAGAAACAAGGATCCAGTGGCTAAGAACCCACAAATAGATGATCGAGCTACTATCACAGCCTGAATGCTGGAACAGAGGCCTTCTTGTGGTTGGGGTGAATTCCACCCTTCCACGCTCCTCCCTGCAAAAAACCTGTTTGAGCTTTCTGTGTAAAGGGAACGTGTCTCTCAACATTACAAGATCTCAATCACTTACCTTATAATCCAAAAGAGAGCTCATCTGATCCACTTCGGAATTACTAATCATATCACTTTCTTCATCATCTATAATTTCGATTTTCTGAAACAGAAGTGAAAGGTATTTCATTCAGAAAACTAAATTCTTGAATTTCTAGCTTACTAATAGAAGTCGCTACGTTACTCTACTATTAGACCTAAGAAACAATAATTGCACCTCTCAAATTATAATGGAAGGAAGAGTCCTAAGTGTATTTCTTTTGCCTATTTACAAATTATTTTGAATTTCTGAGTACCCATTAGATGGCGATCATGCACTCTGTTCATATGCAAAGCTGCAGGGAGGAAGCAACCTGAGGCAATGTACACTCAAAGTTAGGACAATGTTGCCATGGTGACTCACTTTGTTTACTGTGGAGGAGCTAGCTGCTGCCATATTTTTGTTGATTAAATTGCATACTGCATTCTCCTTGCAGCCTGCACAGGTGGCCTTGGGGGAAAAAATATTTCTTCCACAGACTCTTTGTGGGAGATGTCATACCAGCCATGTGGAATGTTTATTCCTCTAGAATCAGAAGGCAAGACAGACACTATGATGAATGACTGCAAACCAAGGGATTTCCTACTGGCAAGTCTTGCCTGGTTTAATTCTTGCCCTTCTATAGTAAAATCTCTCTTTTTAAAAAAATGGTTCCTCGTCTAGTCTGTTTTAGGACTATGGCAACAATATTGTGATAGCTCCAGGAATTGACCCAGTCTTTTTTGAGTAAAATGATCTGACAGGGATGGAACTCAAATTTCCTATGCCTCTTCTCCCTCTTCCAGCACCATTAGAAACAGAGAAATTAGTGGTAGGAAATTAGGGAGTTCAATTATATATTGTGAACGAAAAATACATTTGTCTCCACCTGTTGAAACTCTGAGTCTAGTCGTATGGAGAGTAAGAGAAGGGTTATCATCCAAGAGGAAGAACATCCTCCTTTTGTAAACATTCTAAGACAATAAACCTCTGTTAAGGTAAAGACAGGTTGAGAGTACATATAAGTGATTTATGGGTAGAGTCCAACTTGTGGGCAGACGGAGGTGTGTAGGTGAAGGGATTCCTTCCTGGACACCATATGATGTTTCCAGTGAAGGTATAAAGGGGAAATGAGGACAATAAGGAGATTTTGAGGGGATAGCAAATAGGGAGATTCTCCCTTTATTTCCTGCAGAAGTCTGCATTAGAAGAACTCCAGGCCTGATCATAGCAGTCCCTTCCAATGCTCCACCTCCCATAAGCATTTGGGGGCTTGCTGGGGCCCCCTAACATCTACTGCAGGTACTGGTATGTTCTTTGGGGCCAACCAACTCCTCCCACAACAAATCTCAGGAGACAGGTTCAGGTTCTAACAAGCTAAACTTGTTGTCTGATGAGCCTACATTGGATCTTCAGCCTTCTGAGGAGCCTCTATTGGTTCATCAGGGGGCTGGCTGACAATTTCCCCCCTCCCCTAACGGATCCTGATAACTATCTGAGCTCCAACCATCAATCCTGAAGCCAATATTCCTTGGTTTGTGGAATTCAGATTTGGGGAGGAGCAGGAAAGCTAAAATCCAGTTTATGACAGAAACTCAGTTGTGACTTCACTATGGAGATCTCACACATCACTGATTCTAAAGTATTTAAATTTTACCATAAAAATTAACACATTTTCCCTAAATTCTATAACCTACTGCTCTTTTTATGTGTTTATTTTTATACCCTAATCATTTGAAAATGATCTAATTTAAACACTGTTCTATTAAACAGCAATAAAATTGGTTAAATTTATTATACCTTAGCTCACAGAGATTAAATACTGATTGAAACAGTAGAATAAAAGCCTGCCCTAACACCATTATCTTCCTCACTGATCGCACCACCTTCAAAAGCCGAGAAATATACAGATTCAGTAATTTCAGTTTGCAGTTTATCTCCTTGATTTATTGGCAAGAATGCCAGCCTCCTATCACAAACTGATTTATATTCATTCCATCTGCTGGAAATCTAATTTAAATATGAATAAAAATAAAAACTACCTCATGGGCACTGTAAAAACCTATAAACGTGACATGCTTTGTTCTGTCATAACACACTTTCAATATCATTCTTCTCACCTCACTGAGTTTTTTCTCAAAAATATAACACATTGGATAATACCACGTAAGTGCTAAATACTGTAAAAATAAACATTTTTCAACACGAAATATGGTAGTAATACTATATTGTGATTGAAACAATTTATGTTTAACACAGGATTAACACTGGCCTTTTACATTCTTAATTAGATCTATATTTGAAAAGTGTAAACCCCCCAATTTTTTACAGAATTAGGTAAAAACACCCAGACAAAAATCTTACTACTTGACAGAATTAAAAATAAATTGATAGTAAAAGTATATGAACCAAATTCATCAACAGCAGAAGTAAGGCTACCTCAGTGTAGTCAATGGAGTTGTACCTAATTACTCAATGGGAATTTGTCCCTATATTGTCATGCAGTACACTGGGCTTTCCAACACACAAAATTATTAAAACAGATTATAGTGAGGCATGTACCGAGGATGCTGGGGCATCTGGTCTCTGAGGTTCACAGAACATCTCAGGCTAGCTGTAACCAAATAAGGCATCAGTACTGGGAGGAGCTCCGTATGGCACCTCTGCAACCACACAGAAGTTCCTTGCTGGCTCAGGGCCTAACCATTCAACCTGAATTTAATTGTTTCAGGCCTAGCTAGTACACCAGAACTAAGCAGGACAAAACACTGTTTCAGCACTTCCACATGTCCCTATACACAGAGCATAACTCTACTGAAGCGACAATGTTCCAGAGCTGAGTAGAGTGGAAGAATTACTCAGGACTTTGGAGATGAGAAAGACTAGAATGTAGTAATGCAGTTACACTAAGTAGCCTCCTAAAACACAAGATTTCTACTCATTAAATTATATGGAAAATATTTTTAATTTTTTGACTGAATATGCACAATTCTATCAGTAACTGCTTATTTTTAGTATTCAAGTTATAAAACAGGATTCTTTTTAACAGGACATGAAACTGAAATCTTCACTAACTTAGAAATACTGCCTTTGGAAGACAGTTTATACAGTAATAATTAAGAAGGTCTAATTGGTAGGATATAGAAAGTGTACATACCACATTATCTGCAGATAATGTATTTTGGTCCTCTTCTTTGTGACCAATTTCTTCATTTTGAATAACTTCACTGGTTTCCTCTGCAGAAATAAATGAGCTATTATATCTTCCTCGGAGTTCTAGCTTTAGTACCCTAATGCCCTTTTTATGGAATTTCTTTAAGATATATTTATGTGGTGATGTCTTCTTTGACTTCTAAGCCAAAGTTTATTTGTAATTAAGAAGATTGCGTATAATTAATGTTTGACACAAACATTTCAAATCACATTTATACCAATCACTGCCTAAGACAGACAGACATTATTCTTGTCAGTTACTCTCCTACATTATACACCAATTTCTCACTGCTTATAGCTTCAGGCTTGGGTTTTGAAAGGAGCTTAAGGGAGTCTGGCACCCAACACACACTGAATTTCAACAGGACTTGGGTGTCAAACTCCCTAAAATCCCAGCCTAAAAGATTAGGGTACATATATGTGTGGGTTTGTCTGTCTGTGTATCTCACTCACATGCATGCATACATCCCCATATTGGTGCACTGGAACCACTAAGCCCTGGTCTACACTACAAAATTATTTCGGTATAACTACATCGCTCAGGGTGTGAATAATCCACACCCCTGAGCAATGTA